AAAGAGTCCCATGATGAATCACACACCCTTTACAGAGCAAAAGAATCCTATCAATGGCCGACAAAATCTGGAAGCTCGGCTGGTGAATCGAAAGCACCACCGTCCGATGACGGGCTGAACAGATGGATTTAAGGGTCGATATTACATTGAAGGCGGAGGCGCTGTCGAGGCTGGAGGTGGGTTCGTCGAGGAGTAAAACGGCGGGGTCGTGGAGGAGATTGATAGTCGCTATCTACAATTCTTAATTCAGAAGATTGATAGTCTAGAAACTCACCTTTATTGGGGGACTGCTTGCATGAAACCGCAGAGCTCTTGAATCCTAGAGAACATGCAAAGTTGCAAACATGAACAACAACGCCCTTAGAAGCTTCTTGGTCAGCCTGCAAGTCTAACAGATTGGTAGTTTGATCCAAATCTTCGGAGTTGAGGAAATCGTCAGCCTCAAAGGCGTCAAGATCGTCAAAGGTTAGTTCGAAATCGGTAGAGACATCATCTTGATATATGGCTGAAGTCACGTTTATTGGCTAATCAAGAACCTCAGTGGTTAAGCAGTATTCCCAAATTCTTTCATGTACAACATTTGCTTCTGATTCCTGGATTTTGACTCATAAATTCAGCTTAATATGGTCTGGTTTTCCGCAATGATCACACACCACTTTCGCTTGACAATCTCGTATAAAGTGGCCTGGTTTTCCACATTTGTAACAAGCTTTAAATGGCTTCTTTGACGATTCCTCACTTATGAATTGATTCCCATTGCTAGATGGAGGCTTTGAACGAAAATTCTGTCTCTTTTGATCTTTGACATACAACACATCTTCTGATTTTCAGGAAAACTCGTTGCGGGTCATTTGCTTAATCAGGGCTTCTTAATTGGAAAGAAGATTCTCCAATTCAATTACTATAGGCGGATTTGCCCACCCTTGTATTGAGGAAACAAAGGAAATATTCTTCAATAGAAGAATTACCTTGAGTCACCACAACCAATTAATTCTCTAGAAATTGCGGTCGAGCGATATTTTTCTTGGTGAACAACTTTTGAAGTGTATCCCATACTTGCTTTGGTGACTTTAAATCACGAACATGATCAATATACTCCTTGCTAATAAGAGTTCGCAAGGTAAATAAGGCTTTTCCATAAATCCCATAGATCTTCTCCTTATAGATAAGCTTCCATGCATAACTTCCAATAACTATAGTTATTGCCAACCAACTTTTCCATAGCTATACCCATAGAAGCACTTCCACCATTCATCTCGTTGAGTAATAATTTCAACCGTATCAATTTGGCTCTGATACCAACTGTCTCAATATCTCACGCTCAAAGGTGTGAGTAAATATGAAATTATTATAACTCATGTTCAAGTGTGAGTAAATATGAAATTATTATTACTTAAATAGGTGAGGCAGGAACAATTGAGATATAATAAACAAAAATAAATGTTATAAATAGCTCCTACAAAACCTCCAAATAACCCTTCCTACAAAAGCTCCACTAGGCTGAAATAATTGTCCCAACTTAGAGTAGCTAGGTGGGGAAGTAAAATGAATCCTTGTTCATACATGGGCTTCTCAGGTACGAAATGAGTCACTTCAAATAGGTTCATTGCTTCGGCCCAGAATATGATTAATCCGGCATGGGCTACATGAGCCCCCAATAGTTTACCGAATAAATTGATAAGTCAGACATTTTCGGCCCACCAAGCGAAATCGGTGGTTTCTTGGTCACGACTAGCTAAAGCTAAAGTTCCATTAAAAAACATTTCCACGAGATAGAATCTCCTCCGGGAATATAAGGTTTTCCTGACCTTGATCTATCAAATCCATCCTAAAATAGGTTGCACTAATTTTTGGTGGAGAGTTTGCGGAAAGTGGAAAGGTTCAAAGTGGAGGAGTTGAGAAGAACGGCTCCATGAGTCGGGGTGGTTCGAGCGGCGAGGATATCAATAAGAGTGGATTTTCCGGCGCCGCTTGGGCCGACGCTGGCGAGAATTTGAGAAGGATTCGCTGTGAATGAGATGTCTCGGAGAATGTAGGTGGGTTCAGCGGCGGTGCAGGATTTGAACCAATTGTACGGCGAGGCCGTGGTGGCGGTGGTCGATTTTGCGTAGGATATGGATGACGTTGTTAATGTATAGCTTCTCGACGGCGGCGGCGGCGTTTGGTCTTCGAGGAGAGAATTTTCCGACGATGGGCGGAGAGAGAAATGTGAGAGTGAGAGATTTGGAGAAGGTGATATGTCAAAGTCTCCGTCTAATGCTGTTTGATTGATTTAAGAATTGACATTACGTACCCAGAGAAAGTGGAGGAAAACTTGTGGCTCCCAAATTTTGCATGCTTTTTTTTTCTTCATTTTTATTTATTTTATTATTCTTGTTTTTAATGAAGCCAGAAATAATTGTTGACACTCGGTAAAGAAATGAAATGGGGACAAATATCAGAGGGAGATATTAAATAAAAATAACTAAATAACTTTAAGATACATTAATTTATTAGATGTTTGTCCATTTCGTTAGCTTTTGAAAAATTTTAAATTTTAGAGTTATAATTCCATCGAATCATACATTAAAAAAAATTAAAAAAAATTAATATTTATATATTGTAATTTGTAAATATATAATATTTAAATCCGTTGAGATCTTAGTGATGTATTGTAAATAAAATATAACTTTTTTTTTTTAAATGGAGTTAGGAATGAAATGAAGGAAGCAAAGGAAAGGCCCCACTCATCCAACCAAAGCCTTGTTGACGTTCAAAGTTCACGAGCTGACTGTAGCATCACAGATTACCATGTTGCTGTGTCTCCGCCCGTGACGCCTCCCTCTACGTAAAACTCTTCTACCTATTTTTGTTCTGATATTGCGATGGCGATAAAGCTACATTACTATTTGGATATAAATATTTAAATTTGTCTTCCAATACACAACCCAGCAAGTTTACAATTTTATTTTTCGTGCATCCAACGGTGCAAAATTATTAGTCTCGTTGTGACTACTTTCTAAAATAATGTATCGTACTTTTATATACTACGGAATCGCACAGGGGATCACTTGAGGAATTGACGAGCTCCAAGGAGTGAAAGCAATGACCGTTGAAATCTTATCTTAATTGCGACAATAATTAGGGTAATTGTTTTAAAAAATAAGCATAAAATGTGAAGAAGTAAAAGAGTAGGATAATATATATTCAAGTTGATAATTGTTTTAAACTTCATCTATTATATTATAATATAAATGCGTGTTTAATTTAATAATATTAGAGATCTGATGAAACGCAATACTAATTCCTAAACTATAATGTCGAAGAAGAGGAATAACCTACCCAACTTTGATCCCAATGTCCATTAAAATAAGAATAAATAATTATGGGTTATAATTGGGTATTCATTTTGGCTAAAGACAGAGAATATATGAATGGAGACAAGGAAAATTCAAAACGTTCGGAGAAAAACATGGTGTTGGGTTCTCTCTAATTTGTCCTAATTGTTTCTCTACTGATATTCATTGTATTGTGGGCATCCATGTCTTGAAATTTTCCAAATATTATTTCAATTCATTTTCTCTCTCTTTCTTATTCTAATTTATTACCGATTATAAAATTCCCTTCCAGTGATTCAGTGAACCAGATTTCATGGTCCCATCTCCTCTTCCAAATGCCGCAGTTATTTTTGTTTTATTTTTACCATTCCCACACAGAGAGAGGTTAAAAAAAGAGAGTTAAATCACCCTTTTTATACAAACAATGCAATGTGGAGGGAGTTGAACTTGATTGGTTCCTTAGAAAATACCAAATTTATGGGGTTTTGTTCAAATATATGTACTTTTTTTTTCCTTAATAATTACAAATTTGAGAATTCAATCATAGATTATTTTTAGATTTTTTGCACGTGTAGATATTATTGACTAATTTAAGGAATGATGATGAGTTTATAATCGATGAATACTCTCTCTATTGGCGTGAGGCTTTTAGGGAAGTCCAAAGCAAAACTACGAAAGCTTATGCTTAAAGTGGACAATATCGTACTATTGTAGAAAGTCGTGTTTATCTAGCCGATATTATTTACATCGTAAAAAAGTAAGAGGGTTGAAAGATTAGTAAAAGGGGAAAAAAAAAACTTTTTTACCGCATTAAACTCAATCTCTTTATAGCTCACACTAATTAAATCAAAGAAAGGATGGGAAGTGTTGAATTGAGAGAGAGAGCATTTTTATGCTTTTTCACTTTGAACTAATTAGCTAAGCCTTTCGTTCAATTAAAGCATGCTTTTTATGTCCCAAACTAAAGTAAAATTCTCCATTCATGTTTCCAAAGTCAGAAAAAATAAAGCTTTTTTTAACAATAAATTTAATTATATATATAGTTTAGTCTCATTTGATTTAAATGTATAATGAAAAATGAAATAAAATTGTTATATTATTTACAATTTAATTAAATTTAAAAGTCTATGATTTAAATCAAATAGAAATAGAATAGCAAAAATTGAATTTTGATTCTTTTCATAACTTGTGGTTTTAGCTAAAGTTGGTCAAAGGTCTGTGAAAGTTTCAAAACTTTACCTTTTAAAGAAGGGGAAGGAAAATGAAGAGTCCTACAGAAATACAATAGCTGTCAATCTTTTAATAAAATATAAAGATTCCTCATAATTTGACCTAATTAATTATTATAATTTTGCAGAAAAAGTCCAAAACATTATCCACATTACAATTAATGCCATAAATCATTTTATTTACTTTTTTACTTCTATTTTTAGCTCTATTATTATTATTAAGTATATTGTTTTTAAGAGTTGAACTAAGCTCCATTAATATTTTTGATATTTAAAAATAGAAAATGAAATGAAATGGAAATGGAAATACAATCATCATTTCAAGCTATTATTTACTAAATACACCTCCGAGCGAGTCAACTCTAACAGACTCACTGAGTCGCTGTTTATCATTTCTAAGAAAAGAAAAAACGAATACTGTGCTGCCACTGCCTAATTCAGTTTGCTTTTCATCTTTTTTTTACGGCGAAACCCAAAAAAAACTTTCAAACGCTCTCTCTCTTCATCAACGTTGTTTCGCCTTCCTTGGCTTCTGAGAAAACATCTTTTCTCGCCTTCTCCTTCTGCAAATCGTCAGTCCCGAATTGGTTATCGTCACAAGTTCCATCAACATCATCTGAAATTTTCGATTGAAATGATTGTTAAAAGATAAGGATTTTCAAACGAATTAGGGCATTCAAAGAGAAAAAATAACGTTCAGTTTTATTGTTTTTGGATCTTGCCTCGGGTAGCGCTGAATGACCTTTTGCAATGCAAAATTGCGCTCTCAATCCCGTCGTCTTGCTGCAAAAGCGAATCGTCTCTCCGATTCGTCGGCGATACAGCCATTCCTGTCGCTGAAGATGACGATTTACTCTTCCCTAGACGCCTGCAAACCACTCGGATGCCTATCGAAATATTCCTCTGCTTTTCATCGAACGATGTAGCCGTCGTAGTCACCGGAGATGATACCGGGGACGAACTGTAGTTAGGTTTTCTTGAAACTTTCACATACAGAGGCTTGATTAATTTCAGATACTTCCGCATTCCTTCTCCGCAGAATCTCTTGGATTGACGCTCAGATGCGTCATTTCGATTACTGTTTCTGGAACTGTTAACTCTGTTCAGTTTGAAAGTGAATCGTTTGCTTTCTGTGCTCTGTAATTTGAGAGATGACGGCGTATCTGTTTCGTCCGTCCTCTGTTTCGCCATTAATTTCGGCTTCTTAAACAAGGAAATCGAGAGTCTAGATGCCGATTTAGGAATCGAAACTGGAACCGGAGACTCTGGCTTCGAACTGAGTTCAATCGGAAGGATTTTTCGTTTCGAGATGAGATCGGATTGGGAGAGAAGAAGATTCCGTTGAGAGAAACAGAGTTCATTTTCGCCCGAGAGAGAGAGGTTCCTCCGGTCAGGAGATTCTCCAGATCCTGAAGAAGGAGGAGAGATGAAATCCAAATCGAAGAATGAATCTTCGTCCTGATCGTCGCCATAGATACGAGAGCGAATGAGAGGATATGCAGTTTCAACAATGGAGGAGAAATAGGCGTAGAGATTATGAAGCTTGACGAAGTCCAGAGCTTCCATGGCGGAGAAAGTATTGGGAGAAAGACAAATTGGGAAGTGAGGCTTTGGCGGGTTTTATAGAGCGGCCGTGTGTCGAGGAGGGGGGCCGTCGAACACGTGCCGGACCCCGAAAATAACACAACACAAAACCCTTTTTTCCTTTTCCCAATAAATTTATTTTCTTTTATCTAAATTTTTTAATTTAATTTTAATTTTTGTAAAACAATTATTTGCTTTTATTTTTTCTTGAAAAATACTCTATTGCAATTATAATAAAAATTAGTGAAATCCCATTGACACTTTATATCATTAAACATAAATTAAAAATGTGTTTTAAATTTTAAGATTTTAAAATCAATTTATAATCTAAATATTATCTTGTGGAAAATATAAAATCTAAATCATTTCATAAAGCTTAATATTTTTTTTATAGATTTATTTAATTCGAGTGAATATGATAATTGTTTCCTCTTTCAGTAAATTACAAGGTTCTATTCAATTTCCCATGTATTGAATTAAAAAAAAAAAAAACTATTTTCTATATTTAACTGAGTGAAATTATTAAAAGATAACAACAAAATATAAAATATTAAAATTTTGATTTTGTTTTCTCGAGGGGATAAAATTTAAAAAAGGAAAAGAAAAATCCCTACCTCCAGGTGTACTTACTTTGGAGTTGTGAGAGAGAGAGAGAGAGAGAGAGAGAGAGCTTTTAATTTTGTACTTTTTTGCCCTCTACTTCTGACTCCCCGGCACTCCGTATCGAATTTTGATTCCCCACCATGCCCCTGGCTTTGACTCGACAGAACGTCTTTGATTTATTTATTTATTTGTAATTATTTTAATCATTAATTACTTAATAAATATTTCTACATATAATACAAGGTGTCTCCCAGTCGTAGACCACAATATTCTTTTAGGGAAAGTGTTATTATTCATTCACGCCGCTATGTTTTGTTTCAAAACACATAGGCTTAACTGTGGGTTTTCAATTTTTTCTCATTTTTAAACTATAATTATTTATACAAATTTAATAATTTTAGTCTAACACTAAGAATTTTAATATTTTATTAAATATAAAAATAAAATTAAAAGTAATTTTGAAGTAAAGTTCTAGAAAGTAACAGTTGATGGATTTTTGTTATCAGAAAAAATCAGAAGATATGAATTTGACTTGACTATCATATAGACACAGAGGAAGATGCAGAAAGGCAGACTGGCAAAGCTTGGGTGCTCAGACTGCAAAAATAGAGTTAGACTAAGTCTTCTTTTCCAATATTCTATATTTCTTCATTTGTAAAATTAGCCCTTCACGCGCTCTTCTCTCACGCGACTCCAGATCAGACACCACCAATCATCCATCCACATGTCGAACCACCCGAGCCGAGCGAGCCGAGCCAAAACAAAACAAAACAAAACAAAAAGCTTTATAATTAAATGGTTAAATTGTAAATTATTATTATTTTTTATAATTTAAGGGGTTTGATTTTGCTCATTGCCAAGCCACGTGGATTATGAAACTTCTATATTGTAAATATTTCCTTATTTTTCACATGGGGTAAACTAAAAAATCAGAAAAGAATTCGCAATCTAAACCATCTCAAACACCAAATTTCTTGGTTGTTGAAAAATAAAAATGAATAGTAAAAATTAGTTTTGTTTTTTAAAAAAGAATAAAAATAAGTTATTCTAATTAAATGCTCTTTTTAATGGAGCAAAGTTGCATTTATTTATAGAAAAAGCCCTTTCTTTTTCTTTTTAGCAAAAAAAAAAGTATACATGAAAGTATAATATTCAAAGGGTGGTGAAAAAGAGGGAGAAAAAGAAAAAGAAAAAAGAAAAAGAAAAAGAGCAAGGGAAGGAAGGCAAAGTAAATTTAAAAAAGAAAAAAGTTGGTGTTATACTTATATGGTTGTTGATAATAGGGTTAAAGGGAAACTTCCAAAAAGGAAAAAAGAGATTGAAATGAATGTGAAAAAAAGCCTATAAAATAATTTGTAGACTTTGAGATAAAATAGATAATAGACGAATAATGATGCTAAAACTTTTTTCTTTATTTGTATTTTTTTACTCAAAAAATAGATAATGTATATATATATATATTACATCAACTCTCTGTAATATTTAATTATTTTAAAATAAATCTCGTTTGAGATTTCTTTTTTTTAAATAATAATAGTTTTCAAGGTAAGAAAATGAGATATATTTTTTTAACTTTATAGGAAGACTAATGAATATCTTTTTTTTATATATATAAAAAATTAACAATAAACTAAAATATAATAACACTAAATAGAATTATCGACTTTAAATACTCGTGTGAGGTAAGTAGTTTTTATTAAATAAATCAGTGCACAACATATCTACATGAGTCTTTATTTAATAGTCTATTTAAAAAATTAAAATAAAAGAAAGATAAGGAATTAAAACAAAATAAATTAATAAGTTAACGTTTAATAAAGATTTAAAGCCAGATATAAATATAAAAGGAAAAATTTTAGGTTCTCAACTTTCGAATATTTAATATTTTTACTATTATCAACCTATGTATTTGAGAAAGGAAGAATCGTGGGTTAAAGGGTAAAGGAAAGGTTGATAAAGTGAGAAATAAATGGGGAGGAGTAGCAAGCTTTGTATTGACCATAGGCTCTATTTTGTTTGGTGGCTTAGCTTTTGGAGTTGTGGAGTCCATGCTATTGTTTTTGTTTGTCTTCAAAAGGTTTGACCTTTGAACATTTGGAAGAGAAAAAGTTATGGGCTTATTGGGCCTGAAGAATTGCCGGTGCCGTTTCTGTAGGATGATGTCCCTTTTCTATTGGGCCTGCTAGATTGCCAAATTTGGGATATGGACTATTTTAAAAAAACAATACTCGACTAAATTAAAATAAATATAAAAAGTATTTAAATATATTTGATTTGTTTGTTTTGAATTTTGAGAACTTTAAAATATTTGAAATAAATATAAAATAGATAATTCGAAATATGAAGCAATTTTCAAAAAATTTATTGAAAAAAAAAAAAAAAATCAAATTAGACGATTGGATTTTCTATTTTCTATTAAGAATATGAAGACGTTGAATAATAATAATAAAAGAATTTAAAAAAATCCTGTTGTCGCGTTACTTCCCGGTTCTGGACGCACCCTAACTTTAAATAGCTCGTATTGCATTTCCCTCTCTTTGCGTTTGGCATTTTCTTCTTCCATTTTCTCTGCTTCCATTTTCTCTTATTCAATTTTGCTGCAAAGATCCATGGCTGACCAACCACGCGAGCGGGATTCGGTTATCGACAAGATTTCCGATAAGATCGGCGACTGCATTTCATCGTCTTCATCCGACTCTGATGATGGCCTGCATTCCAAAATCGATGCTGTAAAATCCCGTGTTTTTAGGCTCTTCGGTAGAGACAAGCCCGTCCACACCGTTCTGGGCGGCGGAAAACGTACTTTCTGATCTCTTTCTCTCGTGGTTGATCGGCTAATGTAGAAAAATTTAGAAGTTTTGACGAATGTATACGTTTTGGATCATGCTCTGTTACTTTTATTTATCCAATGCCCTTCTATATATTTACAATGTTATTATCGAGATGTGTTTGCGTGAGTTTGTGCTAATTTTCGTTCGATTGGATGACCGTCCGATGTTGCAACAGAGAGTTCGTTCTCTCTATCTTTCAATCGAGTTATGCATGAAAGCATTACGTTTTTAGCGTATGGCTTCATAGTTTGTGGTTTCAGGTAGATCTCGCATCAGGAAATAGCTCAGTTACTGGTTAGATTTATATTTTAGTTCTTAAGAATATTGTAGTTGACGGGACAAACGGCTGAAGGAGAAAAGTCTAGTTCTTGTTCGGTCTGTCTACTGAACGACTGCAAAAACATTGCCTACCCATTATTTGTAGTCTATTAATGCAATTGTTTGAAGAATTTTCTGAAAGCTTTCGCGGAAATGTATCCCAAAGTAGTGACAATTAGATGCATGCACCCTTCCTCTGTATTGAAAATTGTGTCATGGGCTCAAATGTTTGCATGATTAGCTTTGTTTATGCATTACGATCTTTTATTGGTGTTCTTTGAATTGTTTTAGTATGGGATCGTACGACATTTCTTTTTTCTTTTTCTTTTACTATGTTTATTTTTTGGTATAACAACTGCATTAAGATAGATTGAGAACTGATTTGACATATATTTTTTTCCTCCCAAACATTTCTATAGAACATGACAATTGCTGAAGTATGACCTTCTACAGTTCTGTTCCTCACCCCTTTTCTTGTCTTTATTCGTGAGGGAACTTTTCTTGTAAGTTATGATTGCCTCCTGTTGCAGCTGCTGATGTTTTTCTTTGGAGGAACAAGAAGAACTCTGCAGGCATCCTTGGGGTTGCCACCGCCTTGTGGATTGTTTTTGAGCTGATTGAGTACCAATTAATCACCCTCGTTTGCCATTTATTAATTCTTTTACTTGCTATAATGTTCTTGTGGTCTTATGCCAATACGTTTATCAACAAGTAAGGACTTCGGCTTACAATATCTAATGCAATGCACAGTCTGTTGGTTTTGTTTTTCCCTTTTATGTATATATTCTTTGGTGTGGTTTGTATAGGACCCCACCTCAAATCCCAGATGTGAAACTCCCTGAAGTTTGCTTTCTTCAATTTGTTTCTGCACTGAGAATCGAAATCAACCGTGCGATCTCCATTTTACGTGGTATTGCTTGTGGGAGAGATTTGAAGAAGTTTCTCAGTGTACGTTCACTGCTACTATCACGAGTAATTGTGTTTTAGATTTGAAGAAACAAAATGAATGTTTCTAGGCTCGTTTTTTTTATTTATTGAAATTGCTTTTTTTGATAGTTATTGTAACTTTGTTACTGAGCATGTTTGATGCCATTAACAGGTTTTTCTTGGTTTATGGGTTCTATCAGTTGTTGGCAGTTGGTGCAATTTTCTGACCTTGTTATACATATGTAAGGATGGTCCAAAAGTTTTGCATTTATAACTGAAATTATGTGTTATACCTATTGATATTTTGGTGTGCTACTGATTCTT